ATTATACCCCTACACTAAATATGTGCACCAGCAGACCTGTCTACAGCACTAACAGGTTACTGTAGTAACAGTTTATACACACACACTTCATGAAGTTAAACATTACTAAGCTAATACTGTGCATTGGATCCTACCAGCTATTCTTCTAGTAGAACATGGAGGGAGAGCCCCTTTTGACCAACAACAGACCTTGCTGGGCATTGGGGACTAACATAGTTAAGGGCTGCAGAGTGGAGGCAAAATGTGTGAAATCTGAGCACAAAAGTTGAGTCCAACCCATACTATATAGGGCTGCAAGTGGTCCCTGGGCGAGAACACGTTTCTGGCTCTGGCACACAGCACCCACTGGAAGCTTTTAGCTGTAAAAACCTCTCCAATGGGAGGCCTGTTCATGTGCTGTCCCCATGTGTGCTTGCACAGAAAATTGATGATGAACCATATTACCTAATCAGTGCTATGACTGTTCCAACACCCACTCTTGAAAAAATTCTGCTTAACATTTTGTAGCCAACGGCAGAGACGTAAAGGAAGATAAGTATTTAAATATTTTAGCTTATTAGGCCAGGAAGTTACTGTTATATGCCAGACATATGTTTGAAATTCTGTTACCCATGTTTTAGTGTTTTGTCAAGCCGATTTCCATTTAAAGAGAACATTTCGATGATAAAGTATTTCATAACATGAAAGTGCAATTGAATGACTAAATCTGACTACTATTATAAGCATAACTGCGTGGATTCCCAAAACTAGAACAAGAAATAAAAATGAAACTGGTAGTTATTCTTCAACTAGTTTAGTATCTATGGCAATAAGTTATCATCAGGCTTCATGATAAGCTCTCAAAGGCAGGAACTGGAGAGAGAAGCAAGGAGATATTATGAAATAATCTTTTAATGTAAAATCTCCTTTATCCTTTGTAGAAGATTCATTATCTTGTCATCTTTTTGCTCCACCAACCCCCCACCCACACCTTTATCCAGTATCACTCTGAGTCCCCCCCCTTTCATTCTATTTTTTAACTGGGGAGTCTTTACAGGAAAAGCCATGAACAGCATCCAGAGGTCATTTCGGGGGGGGAACGCGGGGGATCGCAGTTCCCCCGGGTGAGGTGCGAGGGGGCGGGGCACATGATGAAGCCCCGCCCCCTGCTTCCGGCTGCCCCGCTTCCAGCCCTCATTCAGCCAGGAGGAGGCAGGAGAAGAGGGAGGGTAAGTTGCTTCCTCCCCGCCTCTCCCCACCCCTGCCTGCCTGGGGCCAGGGAGGGCCTTGGCGGGGCTTCCTCGCACTCCCGCCGGCCTTGCAGGTCCACTGCCGGGCCCCTGATGTCAGGGGGTGTGGCATATGCTAATGAGTTATGCTAATGAGTTCCCCTAGCTCTTTTTCTACGAAATGACCCCTGACAGCATCTATCAGATTTTTACCGTCTTCCTCTATACATGGCTCTCCTTTTGTCCATTTTATTCTTCCAACAACTCTGTGAGTCAAGTTAGGCTAGGAGAGCATAACTGGACCACCACATGAGCTTCCTAGTGGAATGGGGTTTTGAACCCAGAACTCCACAGTCCAACACTCTGACCAATACCTCTCATCAAGTATACACAAACCTAGTAATACAAAGAGCTCTACACATTCTCTTCCACAAAAGGAAATACTTGCTGCTTTCTCCAGCTTTAAAGCTACTGGACTCTTGCGTTATACAAGTTTTACCCTTCACTTCAGTGATGTCTTTGATTGTACTTGCTTTGCTTTCTCTCAGCTTCTGGGAGAAAAACAACACTGTTACTGATGACTCAGCAGAGTTCAGTGAAAAACCTGCTGCACCTCCCTTTATCAGTAGAGGGAGCCGACTATATGTCTGCCCTGGGCTGAACCTAATACTAAGCATTGTGAGGCAGTTCACCTCAGGTGGCAGACTTCAGGGAACAAACAAAAAGCAGGGAATTGTTAAAGCAGCAATTATTTACTTAACTATGGTGTTAACACTTGAGAGGCAATACACCATTTGGATTTTTTGCCTCAAGCACTAAAGTATCTTAAGCCACCTTTGCATCTACATTTTCAGTCTTCCTGAATGTATCCCCATTTAGGTAAAGGTAAAGGTTCCCTTGCTCGAAAGCCAGTCGAGTCCGACTCTAGGGTTGCGGTGCTCATCTCCGTTTCAAAGCCAAAGAGCCAGCGCTGTCCGAAGACGTTTCCGTGGTCATGTGGCCGGCATAACTAAACACCAAGGCGCACGGAACGCTGTTACCTTCCCACCGAAGTGATACCTATTTATCTACTTGCAATTTCTTGCTTTCAAACTGCTAGGTTGGCAGGAGCTGGAACTAGAGACGGGAGCTCACTCCGTCTTGCGGCACCTGGGTCTCGAACTGCTGAACTACTGGCCTTCCACAGCCTGCAGTTCAGCGTCTTAACCACTTGAGCCACCGCAGCTCCTCATGAACAGTTATACCCTTTTACTTCTAGGTAAAAATTATGGCATCTATGCGTGTCTGTGAAAGGAAGAGGGGACAGGCCAGGGTAGCCTGATTGTCAGATCTCAGAAGCTAAGAAGGGTTAGCCCTGGTTCGGATTTGGATGGGGGACCACCAAAAACGTCCAGGGTTGCTATGCAGAGACAGGCAATTGCAAAGCACTTCTGAACATCTCTTGTCTTGAAAACCCTACAGGGTTGCCATAAGTTAGCTGCAACTTTATGGTAAAAGAAAAAATCATGTCTGTGAAAGGAAGAGGGGGCCAGTAACAAAATATGAAGGTGTGCTGTGGGGGGATGATATGAATAAATAAAACAATAAGTACCTGTACTCTCTCCCTCCTGCTGTCCCCCATGCCACAGTTAACATGCTGGACTTGTGTGCAGGCACCCTGCAGAAGAGGAAGCAACTACATAAGAAAGCATATGAATAACTATGGTTTAGGATTGGTACAAGTCAAAATAAATCAGCCTCATCCAAAACTACCTGAAGCTGCTCTACTCTTACTCATTTGATCACCTTGCCCAAAAATGGAACATTCAAGTATGGTCCCACAGTGATTTACATCAGCCCAATCCAGCAATGTTTTTTCAGGACTGAGAGAACCACAGTGCCACTGATTACAAGAGATTTAAAAGGGTATAACTGTTCATGATTATGCTGTCTAGTATAAGGCAAGAGGCTCTCTAAAAATGGAAGGTACTTATTATATGCAATTTGATTGTTTTTATTATATGCAATTTGATAATTTGAAACAAAAGTATTCTGACTAAGTACAAAAATGTCTGCAGTTCCCCACTAAGATACATGAGCTTTTTAGTTCTTTTACAGTAGCATCTTATGCAGAGTTACTCCACTTTAAGCCCAATGAAACCAGTGGGATTAGATTGGACTGGTACAGTACAGCCTCACTGATAACAGTATTATTAATACTCTGGTTTCTCTTCAGATTGTATAAATCTTTCGCCTTCTATGCAGATAACAGTATTATATTTTAAATACAGCTGGGCATAGACAGAACAAAAGTCTTAACAAATAACATGGGCAAGAACAGTATTTTATGTTTTTAATTCACTAAAACCTAGAATTTACATGGCTCGGGTAAGATCTCGGTTTCTCACAAAGAAAGTGTGAGGCAGTCTAACTGCCAGTATTCTGGAAACTCAAATATGCACATGAGTGAGTTAACAATAAAGCATGTCAACATGCACTTGCTGTTTTTGCCCACTTGCAGGCTAGCACCTGCAGAAGCCTCTGCTGACTTGAGCAAGATTGTTGTGGTGGAGCACAGGTAGAGAGGCAGTCCTGCCAATAAGAGGAGACAAGGCGATGGAGGGCTTTGTATGCGATAGCCAATACCTTAAACTGAGCTCATCTGTTACCAGGCTCAGTTTAAGATACTACCCAGAGGTCATTTCGGGGGGGATCGGCAGTGGAGCTGCAAGGCCGGCGGTGGTGGCCGGGACCATTGGGGGCGGGGTGTGTGGCCTTATGACACACTTCCGGTGATGTCAGGTGTGGCCTTATGACACACTTCCGGTGATGTCAGGTGTGGCCTTATGACACACTTCCGGTGATGTCAGGTGTGGCCTTATGACACACTTCCGGTGATGTCAGGTGTGGCCTTATGACACACTTCCGGTGATGTCAGGTGTGGCCTTATGACACACTTCCGGTGATGTCAGGTGTGGCCTTATGACACACTTCCGGTGATGTCAGGGGGTGTGGCATATGCTAATGAGTTATGCTAATGAGTCCTCTTAGCTCTTTTTCTACGAAACGACCCCTGATACTACCTATCACATACAAAGCCCTTCATGACTTTGGCCCCTCTTATGTGCAGGACTGTCTTTCTGCCTATGCTCTGCCACGACAACTTCACTCATGTAAGCAGGGGATTCTGTGGGTGCCAGCCTGCACATAGCAAAATCCACATCTGCTCGTACACATGCTCTCTGCGTTGTGGCTCCTGCCTTATGGAATGGCCTGCCTGAGGATGTTAGGAAAGCTCCCACTCTTCTGGCCTTCCACAAACTATGCAAAACTGAACTATTCAAGAGTGCTTTTCTGCACAGATAATATGGTTGCATCACACAAAATAGTTTACAAACATGCTTGGATAAACGATTAAGGACTGTGGTCTATACTGCTGTGTTTAGCTTATTGTAAGTAGGATCCTATTTATGTAATTTCTATACCACTTAATGTGTCACGTGAAGACTTATGCTATGCTTCAGTTCTTTCTGGTGGTTCCAGATTTCTAAAATCCTAATGCACTGGCTATTGAATGTCCCATTTTTTGTGTGACTGTACTGCCTCAGCATGTGCAATCTGCCTTGAGTCCCTGTGCGAAAGGCAGACTATAAGTATTTCAAATAAAATAAAAATGTAAATATGAGACATGAACCACCTTCTGTCTCCTGTCCCATGGCAAGGTGTGTGTGTGAGTGAGAGAGAGAGAGAATGAATAAAAATCTGCCAGGCACAAGTCACATATTAAGGTGTGTGTTTTTCCCCCCCTTCTAGATTGAAAAAACTGATTAACCAAGAAACAGCCTATCAGGCAAAAAAAGACAAGGAAACCAGCAAGAAAGTAAACAAACTGAAGGAGGAGCTGACAAAACTCAAGTCATTTGCTTTAACGGTAGTGGATGAACACCAAAGACTTACAGAGCAGTTAAACCAGCAAAGCCGAAAGATTGAAGAGCTCACTGCTGCCACAGAGCAAGCTCATGAGAAGCTCTCTATCACAGAAACCAAAGCCCAAGAAGAGGAACAGAAAGTTCTCAGGCTGGAAGCAGAACTTCTGACACAAACAGACAAGGCTGCCCAAGAACAAGAAGCTGTGATGGCCAAACTAACCAATGAAGAGAGCCAGAACCGCCAGCTCAAGTTAAAACTAACCTCTCTTAGTCGACAAATTGATGAACTTGAAGAGACTAATAAATCCCTGCGAAAGGCCGAAGAAGAACTGCAAGACCTAAGAGAAAAAATTACTAGAGGGGAGTGTGGAAATTCTACTCTTATGTCCGAAGTGGAAGAGCTAAGGAAACGAGTTCTGGAAATGGAAGGGAAAGATGAGGAGCTCATAAAAATGGAAGAGCAGTGCAGGGAGCTCAATAAGAAGCTAGAAAAAGAAGCCTCACAAGGTAAGAACTTCAAAGCAGAAGTTGATAAACTCAACAAGAGAATTATGGAGCTTGAGAAACTGGAGGATGCTTTCAGCAAGAGTAAACAGGAATGCCACTCTTTGAAATGCAACCTAGAAAAAGAAAAAATGTTAACAAAGCAGCTGTCCCAAGAACTGGATGGCTTAAAAGCTCGACTGGGAGAACTTGAGACCATTGAAAGCAGGCTGGAAAAAACAGAGTTCACGCTTAAGGAAGAGCTGACCAAACTGAAATCGCTGACAGTAATGCTGGTTGATGAAAGGAAAACAATGAATGAAAAAATAAAACAAACTGAAGAAAAATTACAGACTGCAAATTCACAACTTCAGCTAGAGCAAAAAAAAGTCATGTCAGTTACAGAAAAACTGATTGAGGAAAGTAAAAAGGCATTAAAATCAAAGACTGATGCTGAGGAGAAAATGTCCAACCTCACAAAAGAAAGGGATGAACTGAAACACAAACTAAAAGGAGAGGAAGATAAAGGAAACGATCTCTCCTCCAAGGTGAATCTTCTAAGGAAAAAGCTTCAGTCCCTAGAAGCCATTGAAAAAGAGTTCCTAAAAAATAAACTGAAAGAGACCAGCAAACCTAACTCAGTTTTACAGCAGGAAAACAACAAAATTAAAGAACTAGCCCAAGAAATTGAAAGGCTTAAACACAAACTTAATGAAATGAAGTCTATAGAAGATGATCTCATGAAAACAGAAGATGAATTTGAATCTCTAGAACGTAGATACATTAATGAACAAGAAAAGGCCCGCTTTCTGTCAGAGGAACTTGAGGTTGTAAAAAGAGAACTGGCTCGGTACAAGTTAGCAGAGAAGACAGAATCCAATCATGAGCAAAGACTGTTCAAAAAACTTAAAGAAGAATCAGCCAAGTCGGGTCACCTCTCTAGGGAAGTAGACGCATTGAAAGAAAAAATCCATGAGTACATGGCTACTGAAGATTTGATATGTCATCTAAGGGAAGATCATACAGCCCTACAAAGGAAATTCACTCACCAAGAAAACAAGAACAAAGAGTTAGTAAAAGAAATGGAAATCCTTACCAAAGAGCTAGACAGGTACAGGCATTTCAGTAAGAGCCTCAGACCAAGTTTCAATGGAAGGAGAATTTCTGACTTGCAGGTTTTCTCTAAGGAAGTCCAAACAGAACCAGCAGACAATGAACCACCTGATTATAAGAGTCTTGTTCCTTTAGAACGAGCTGTCATAAATGGGCATTTATATGAAGACAGCGATAATGAAGAGGATGAAAATAATGATGATGAGCAAACCATGTCCTTCGGGTGCAATTCATCTGCTGCAAATGCAGTAAACAATAATAAACTTTGGATCCCCTGGATGAAGTCCAAAGAAAACCATATTCAAAATGGAAAAGTTCATGCCAAGCAGAATGGAAACTGCATTCAGCCTGGAAATCTAGTACTAAGTCACACGCCTGGCCAACCGCTTCATATAAAAGTTACTCCAGATCACGGTCACAACACAGCCACCCTTGAAATAACTAGCCCTACTGCAGAGAGCTCTCACTCTTTCACTAGTACTGCTGTGATACCAAACTGTGGCACACCAAAGCAAAGGATAACCATCATTCAAAATGGATCTTTAACGCCTATAAAATCTAAGTCAGTTGATGGTTACTCAAGTCCAGAGCAAATAATGCCACCTCTTACTATAGCTGCCTTTGCTAGATCCCAAACTCCTGAATCATGTGGCTCTGTGACTCCTGAAAGGACAATGTCCCCTTTGGCTCTGACAAGCTCCATGAACTCCCCAGACCAGGTACTTTCACCACAACCTCTGGAAATTGGTGACAAGCATGCTGTCTTTAGAGTATCTCCTGAAAGGCAGTCATCCTGGCAGTTCCAACGATCTAACAGTTCTGGTTCTAGTGTGATAACTACTGAGGATAATAAAATACATATTCATTTAGGAAGCTCCTATGTTCAAGCTATTCCTAATTCAGCAAAAACTGTTAGCCCTTGCAGTCCTGTGCAGGATAACAGAACTCCAGCACTGACTAATGGAACACCAAGTAAGCCTATCAACAAAGTCACCAGTAGCATTACTATTACACCAACAGCTACTCCTCTCCCACGACAATCACAAATTACAGTAAGTAATATCTATAACTGATCCTCTTCAACTGTGCTGACATACTTACCAGCAACCCAAACTTATGTTTACCACCTCAGAAGGAACAATTTGGGACAATTTTGGTAGAGTTTTGCGTGACAGTACTTTGCATGTGTTCTACAGCAGTACAGAGCACTAACATACGGACCTGTCTCTCTAATCACATCAGGTGTGCACTTACTGTATTATCTGTTCATTTAAATAACTTTTTTTGGTAAAATATTTAGACTTGCACCTGTATAAATCCATCTTTTATGTATTTACATTTGCAATAACTGACATTTTGGATTGCAACTTTTGGTGGAATACTTTAACATTACAGAACAGTAAAAAAATTTAACCACTGCTTGCAGATTCATTCCCCCCCCTTCTCTGTGTGAATTTTTGCATGTAAAACTGTTTTTAAGCTTTAGACAACCTGTTAACTTTTGTTTACTATCTCAGTCATTTCCTGCATCTTGTAGGATTCAGTTAATAGACCAAATATCACACAAATTGCATGTATTTTAGAATGATGATGCATGAAAGTCTGCAGGACCCTGAAGCTGGTTAACTGTTTAAAAAACATTCACGTAGGTAGCCATATTGATCTGAAGCAACAGAACAAAGTTTGAGTCCAGTGGCACATTTAAGACCAACAAAGTTTAATTCTAAGTTTTCGTGTGCATCCACACTGCTTCAGATACATTATCTGAAGAAGTGTTTATGCACAAGAAAGCTTACACACTGATTTCTACTTTGTTGACCTTAAAGGTGCCACTGAACTCAAACTTTGTTCCGTTTAAAAAGAATGAGTTCTGAGCCATTTAAAAACACACCTTAGCTATGTACTCTGTAGAAAGTGAAAGGAAAGCTACGTACTGTCACTAAGGCTAAGGTCATCCTAAGGCCATTCTTTGTTTTGTATCAAAGAAGTGTGTGTACATGTGTGTGTGTATGTGTACATGCATGTGCGCACGTGCATGTGTGTGTACATATCTATAGATCTATATCAATACCAAGTAAAAATGTGAGGAAGGAAATCCTACTTTGCTTTTCATTGCAGTATTTTACTTGAATTAAGAAAACCCTGATCTTTTAAAGATAGGTATTTCTCTCCCACATATACATATTTATCTCAGCACTTCTGTTTAATCTGTGAACAAGAAGAACACACTTTTGCTATCACCCCTATTTTTCAAAAATATGTACACATAAAACCCTTTGTAAGCTAAAATCCTATTCCAGACAATTTATCCAGAGGATGGATTTACAAGGCCATTGAAAAGAGGAAGCCAAGTTCTCTTAATTATTATAGCTGCAATGGCACCAACAGCTAATGGTGAATTTAGTGCAGAATGTTCCCTTGAGTGTGTGTAAAAATATTCCATGGCAAACGTACCTACTTTCTTGTATAATGTGGAGTATTTTGCTTGAGAATATAGTTTGAGAGATCCCACCAATCATGTTTTTGACATAGGGTTGCCAAGTCTTAAAATCTTACCGGCGGGGGAGGCTCCGTTCTGCCCGGGAGCCGGCTGTGTGCGTGTGTGCGTGCACGCTTTGCGCGCGCGCACCACCGCAACGTCACCAGAAGTGACATCAGATGTTGCTGACGTTGGGGGCATGGCCGAGCTCGTCGGGGGGGAACATATGGTTCCCCCCCGACGAGCTCAGCCACGCCCCCAACGTCAGCAACGTGGCTGCGTCACCTCTGGTGACACAGCTTCGGGGGCGGGGTTCCCCCCGGGCCCCGATTCCGCTAGGGCAGAAATCGGGGCTCTGAAGCGGGGAATTCCCCGCCCCCCGGGCACATTTGGCAACCCTATTTTGACACCTACCTTCGAGAACTGTTTTAAGCTATTTGCTGGGCGGGAAAAATCAAGATATATGTGTCGACACCTAAAACATTTGAACGTTTTGTTTCTCTTCACAGGGCTGACAATATTTTAATAATGGCTTCTAAAACACATATTTTTTCCAGCTCTGGTTGCTTGCTGCTTCACTGTTGTATTGCTCTCCTTCAACAGTCAGTGGGAAAATTCCCCTATTGTTGATTCATTGTCAATGGCAACCATTCATTTCTCGTTTTTGCTATATCATCTTCCCCATTTAGCTGCCTTCCTCCTTTACAGCCGCTACCCATGACGTAAGCATCTTTATGCCCTTTTTTTTCTTTGTTTCCACAAATCATTGTCAATTAAGGCGTACCTCTGCTGAAACTGAAGTTCTCTGAGCAGAATCTACTTTATCAGCTAGTTTATGTAGTTTATGAAACATCACAATAAACATCTGTAGGCATTCACACAGTAGAGAAGGGGTAAACCTGCTTGTATAAACTAGCCTCAAGGGACAAAGTAGAGCCTACCCACCTAAACCACAGTTTCAGTATTCAGCAAACAACTTCATGTGCTATGACACTTCTTTCTACCAGTATATATAACATCAGATGTGCTTTATTTACATTTGAAGAATGTACATAGCCTTGAACGGTACTTAACAAAAAAAAAGCATTTGAGACTTGTCTGATCGGTATTGAGATGTATAAACCATATCCAGGTTACAAGACATAGACATGGCTCTTATAGCTTTTGTTGTCTACTGAAATATACACTTTTTGGCTTTACAATCCAGAGTCAATTAAAATAAAAGGTTTTAGCATCATGCTTAATCCAAAGTACAAGGATAAGCCTACTGAACTTTTGCACAACTTGTAACATTGAACGCATTTTGCATATCACCGATAAGCATATGCACTAAAACAATTCTTTTTCTAAAACATAACAGGATTCTATTTCTAAAATATAACATTCTAGGACATTGAGAAAAGTGGTATTTGAGACATAGACAAGGGTTTTAATGCAAAACTCTATTAAATACTAATATTCTTAAATACCCTGCATCCTTTGGGGTCAGATTTATCAAACGAAAACCCTTTTTCAGTTGCATTAACAACTGTACTGAATTGAAATACTTTGTTTCATACTGGGTCTTAGAAAATCTTCACCTGCTGGCAGAAGACAGGAACAGAATGAGACAGACCTGAGGTGGGAGTTCCAGAATTTTGGTGCCATGACCAAAAAGAGCCTCTCCTCAGATCTATCTAGCCTCAGAAAGTAAGGAAACTCTCAGAAGATGGGTAGGTAACAGTTGGGTAGGTTCATACAGGACTAGGAAGTCCTTAAGGTTATGCTAGTCCAAAACCTTATAGGACTTTAAAGGTCAATCTTGACTTGGTCCCTACATCCCAGGACAACAATAATAGTAGCAACTACTACCCTGTTATAATTTACCGCTCAGGACACTTGAGAGGCCTTAGAACAAGATGTGTGAGCAATCTATCATGGTCCGAGAACATACAGCCATTCCCTCCCCCCTCAGAGTTTCATACTCAAGTAGGTGTCTTTTAAATCTTTTAAAACTATGAAAAAAGTACAAGAGGCAACAAATATGTTAACATAAAAACTAAGGAGGACACTGTCACTAAGCATAAACACAGGACACATATGACAAAGGTACTTATGAATCAAATAAGTAGGATACAGGTACCAACTACATTCAAGCAAGCAGAGCTTTGAAAGCTTATAATTAGTCAAGTTCGGCCCCGGTCACGCAGAAGGTTTTGGGTCAGGAGAGGGACAGATCGGGGGCGCAGCAAATGGGTGCGATCTCACCGCAACATCTGGGAAGCTGCGCGCACCCGTCCCCGATCCAGCCCTTCAGGCCGAAAATCCGCTGTTAAAATAAACCACCTACAAAGGTGGACTTACCAGAAAGGCCACAACAAGCGCGGCCGTGGGATCGCCGGCGCGTCTTTCTGCCGGCGCATCCGAGGCTCCCAGCCGAACTGCGCATGCGCACACATGCGCAGCCGGCTTCCTCGGTCTCCCGTCGGTGGCTTCCTCCCTGGCATCTGATCGTGCCGGGGAGTAACAGCGCGGCGGCTCAGGGGATCTGTGTGATCCCGCCGCCACGTGTCTTTTTTGGTGCAGCTCTGAATAGCCGCACTTTGGCCATGTTTTTTCCTGCCATGTGGCAGGGGCCTTCCAGTGTAATTTGAACCAACTTAGATGTTTTTAAAATGGAATCTCTCACCTGACAAGGACCAACACTGTGCTGATTCAGTAAGTTATATCCAAGGCCAACAGGGAAGTGAAAGAAGTCACAGATTTCCAATTAAGGCCCTGGGCGGCCATCTGTAATGCTACATGTTTGGTACTTACCACAATAGTATGAAATCAAATTCAGGTACAGAGCATGACATTCTCCCCGACCCACAGCCCCAAAAAATGTTTTCTGCCAATTTGGTCAACAAAATTCCATAGGAATATTTTTCAAAGTTTGGAAAAAACCTAAAGTAAATGCAAGATGAAATATTTAAAACCACCATACTTGTTGGCTGAAAGAATTCTAGTTTTATTTTCTGAAAATGAGACACACTCCAACAAACTTCTTTCAGTGTTGGAAAATGTTCAAGGACACAAGGGTTCAACAGCCCCAGCCACCAGGGCTATTTTTGGGCAGGAACACACAGGAACGGAGTTCCGGCTGGCTCCCAAGTTGGCCACACCCAGCAGGAACTCATTAGCATAATAGGCCACACCCAACAGCAGGAACTCATTAGAATTGGCTACATTAGGGGTGTGTGGCCTAACATGCAAAGGAGTTCCTGCAACAAAAAAAGCCCTGGGTTTTGACAACAAGCAAGGTAAACAGAATAAGAAGCAAAAGGTGGGTGTGGCTGGATAACCACACTTCTGGTAACATGGGGGTGCGGCCTAATGTGCTAGTGAGCTGTGCTGTCAGGGGTGTGGCCTAATATGCTAATGAGTTTCTGCTGTTGGGTGTGGCCTATTATGTTAATGAGTTCCTGCTGGACTTTTTCTACAAAAAAAAGCCCTGAATAAATCTAAAACAAAGTATAGATATTTATATGACAAGCTGAACAAAGCAGAAACTACATAGTAGGGTAATACATACAGCAACAGATAGTATGTACT